GTTAGTAATGCAAGCATTAGTTATGCAGATATTATTTTTTATCTACTGTTTGGTGTGGTGTATTAAAATTATAATGCATTGCATAATTTATAAGAAAAATATTTGTTTACAAAAATATCCTCCATATTCTCAAACTTTAAGGAACTTTAAGGATAATTTTATCTTTAACCATACTAATGCATGCATTAATAGCCTTGGTATTACTAATGCCATGATTTTCTATGCATTATTTATACATAGGACAATACCAAGTATGATGTATAACTAAGTTATACATATGTTGAAAAAATGTACCAAACAAGGTATTAGTAATGCATAAAGTTAATGCTTGCATTATTTTTTCTAATACCTCCTACCAAACGACCCCTAAGTTACACAACACTTTGCTTTGGTATACATGTTGGGGTTGGCAATAAAGTTCATGTACTTCTTTAGAAAAATTGAGGAACAAGGTAGGATGCAGATTCTAATTCTTACTCTCTAGGTTGTCAAGCAGTTTAACGTAATAGTTCAACGTTTTTGGGGTATTCTTTACTTCGTTACTTTTGTATTGTTGTTGCATATGTTTGATTAGTCCTTGTTGTATTGTCCAATTTCGGCAATTAACTCTAAGCAAGTAACGTGATATTTTCAATGATTTAATGTATTCCTTTATGTACTTTTTTATTTTTATTTTTTTTTATCTTAGTTGATACTTGATGATTTTGGACAAAGATTTTATTAATAGCCAGATGAGCTTAGAATGTATTCATTGAGTATTTTAACTAAGAATATTACAGTCTATGGCTCTATGCACTAGTTAGTATTCAAGCCGAATAAACCGAAATTTCCGAACCGAATAAACAGAAACCGGAAGCAGAAAAGTTGAACCATACTGAATGTAATTAGGTATGATATTGGTACAATATTTTAAGAAACCTAATACCGAAAATACCTAACCGAAATGACTAAATACCGCAAGGAACACCCCTACTAGCATGGGACGAGAAATCTGGAAAAGTCATTGTGAAAATATTTTTTCAGTGGAAGCCTGTCCCGTAATATAAGGAAGATGACTTTCTTCCTTTGATAAAGACTTCTAAGTCCTTTTCAAAATTTGCAGCCACCGTTTCTTTTGATATTGTCAACATTGTAGGTGTGAGAGAAAAATGTCAAATATAATAGGCGTGAGAGAGTGAGGCTACGCCTATAAAAGGAGAGTTTCGGCTCTCATCTCTACACATCAATCTCATAGGAAAAATATATTTGAGAGCTAGAAAGAAAGATTGAGATTTCATAAATAAGGTATAAGAAAATTGTCTTGCAAAGTGTAAAAATTCCTTGGTATAGAGATATCAGTTGCTCCTCTCGGGGCCTTGGTTTTTTCCTTATTCAAAAGTGTTTTTCACGTAAAAATCTTGGTGTCGTTGTCACCCTTTTATTTTTTTTAATTACCGTATCTCGGTGTTACGTTATTATTCCACTTTTATTACCGTGAATATTATTTCTATAGGGGGTTTATTCCTAACAACTGGTATCAAAGCACATGTTTTGCTCGTTCATAGAAATATTATTCACTGTCGGTAGTACTATACTCAATGAAAAATAAAAATGTCCGGAGTAAAATACGAGGTAGCAAAATTCAACAAAGATAGCGGTTTCTCAACATGGCAAAGAAGGATGAGGGATCTGCTTATCCAACAAGATTTACACAAAGTACTAAGATTGGGCTGATACCATGAAAGCTGAGGATTGGGCTGACTTGGAAGAAAGGGCTGCTAGTGCAATCAAGTTGCACTTATCAGATGTTTATGGTCCAATGAAAATTGAATCGATGGGCGGTAACAAATATTTTGTTACTTTTTTTGATGATGCTTCACTAAAATTATGGGTTTATATTTTGAAAACCAAAGATCAGGTGTTTCAAGTTTTCTAGAAGTTTCATGCTATGGTGGAAAGGGAGGCACGCCAAAAGCTAAAGTATCTCCGAAGTGACAATGGAGGTGAGTACACTTCAAGAGAATTTGAAGAGTATTGTTCGAGCCATGGGATCAGACATGAAAAGACATTTCCTGGAACCCAAAAACACAATGTCGTAGCCAAAAGGATGAACCACACCATTGTGGAGAAGGTGAGAAGCATGCTCAGAATGGATAAACTGCCTAAATCATTCTAGGGTGAAGCAGTTCAGACAACTTGTTACCAGATCAATAGAAGTCCATCAGTTCCGTTGGTGTTTGACATCCCAAAAAGAGTTTGGACCAACAAGGAGGTGTCCTACTCGCATCTGAAGGTGTTCGGTTGCAGAGCTTTTGCACATGTACCAAAGGAGTAGAGAACAAAGCTGGATGATAAATCTGTTCCCTGCATATTCATCGGATATAGAGATGAAGAGTTCGGATACAGATTATGGGATCCTATAAAGAAGAAGGTCACCAGAAGCAGAGATGTAGTCTTCCGAGAAAGTGAAGTTGGAGTTGCTGATAATATGCCAGAGAAGGACAAGAATGTTATAATTCCTAACCTTGTTACTATTCCTTCTACTTCTGACAATCCCACAAGTGCAGAAAGTATGACCGACGAGGTTGCCAAGCAGGGGGAGCAACCTGGTGAGCTTATTGAGCAGGGGGGAGTAACTTGATAATGATGTCGAGCAAGTGGAGTACCTCACTCAGGAAGAAGAACAACCTCAACCTCTGAGGAGATCAGAGAGGCTGAGGGTAGAGTCATGCAGGTACCCTACCAGAGAGTATGTCCTCATCAGTGATGAAGGGGAGCCAGAAAGTCTTAAGGAGGTGTTGTCTCATCCAGAAAAGAACCAGTGGATGAATGCCATGCAAGAAGAGATGGAATCTCTATAGAAAAATGGCACGTATAAGTTGGTTGAACTTCCAAAGGGTAAAGGACCACTCAAATGCAAATGGGTCTTTAAACACAAGAAAGATGGAAATGGAAAGCTGGTCAGATACAAAGCTCGATTGGTGGTTAAAGGCTTCGAACAGAAGAAAGGTATTGATTTTGACAAAATTTTCTCACATGTTGTCAAAATGACTTCTATTCGAACAATTTTGAGCTTAGCAGCTAGCCTAGATCTTGAAATAGAGCAGTTGGATGTGAAGACTGTATTTCTTCATGGAGATTTGGAAGAGGAGATTTTATATGGAGCAGCCAGAAGGATTAAAAGTAGATGGAAAGAAATATATGGTGTGCAAATTGAATAAGAGTCTTTATGGGTTAAAGCAGGCACCAAGACAGTGGTATATGGAGTTTGACATATTCATGAAAAGTCAAGCATACATAAAGACCTATTCTGATCCATGTGTATACTTCAAAAGATTTTTAGAGAATAACTTTATTATATTGTTATTTTATGTGGATGGCATGTTAATTGTACGAAAAGACAAGGGGCTGATCGAAAAGTTGAAGGGAGATCTATCTAAGTCATTTGATATGAAAGACTTGGACCTAGCACAACAAATTCTGGGTATGAATATAGTTCGAGAACGAACAAGCAGAAAGTTGTGGCTGTCTCAGGAAAAGTACATTGAACGTGTACTGGAACGTTTCAACATGAAGAATGCTAATCTAGTCAGCACACCTCTTGCTAGTCATCTAAATTTGAGTAAGAAGATGTGTCTTACAACAGTGGAGGAGAAAATGAACATGGCTAGAGTTCCTTATTCTTCAGCAGTCGGAAGTTTGATGTATGCAATGTATGCACCAGACCTAATATTGCTCATGCAGTTGGTGTTGTTAGCAGATTCCTTGAAAATCCCGGAAAGGAACATTGGGAAGCAGTCAAGTGGATACTCAAGTACCTAAGAGGTACTGTAAGAGATTGCTTTTGTTTTGGAGGATCTGATCCAATCTTGAAGGGCTACACGGATGCTGATATGTCAGGTGATCTTGATAATTGTAAATCTACTACATGATACCTTTTCACATTTTGAGGGGGAGCTATATCACGGTAGTCGAAGTTGCAGAAGCGTGTTGTACTCTCTATAACTGAAGCAAAATATATTGCCGCTACTGAAGCTGGCAAGGAGATGGTTTGGCTGAAACGGTTCCTTCGAGAGCTTGGACTACATCAAAACGAGTATGCCGTCTATTGCGACAGTCAAAGTGAAATAAACCTGAGCAAAAACACCATGTATCATGTAAGGACGAAGCATATCGACGTGAGATATTACTGGATTCGAGAAAGAATAAACGATGGATCTATACAAGTCAAGAAGATCCATACAAGTGAGAATCCTTCGGATATGCTGACAAAGGTAGTGCCAAGAGACAAGTTCGAGCTATGCAAAGTACTTGTCGGCATGCACTCAAACTAGAAACTCCGGTTTTACCTCCTTCAGGTGAATGAGACTCGAGGGGGAGATTTGATGGATCCATCCTATAATTTAAGGAAGACGACTTTCTTCATTTGATAAAGACTTCTAAGTCTTTTTCAAAATTGGCAGCCACCGTTTCTTTTGATATTGTCAACATTGTAGGCGTGAGAGGAAAATGTCAAATATAGTAGGCGTTGGAGAGTGGGGCTCCACCTATCAAAGGAGAGCTTCAACTCTCATCTCTACACAACCAATCTCAAAGGAAAAATATATCTAAGAGTTAGAAAGAAAGAGCGAGGTTTCACATACAAGGTATAAGAAAATTATTTGTGAGAAAAATAGAGAGTGAGCGATATTGTAGTGAGGTGGTAATATCAAAAGAGAGTTATTTCTTTTGAGTGTTGTAGTGGTCTTTGGAGTATTTTACTCGGACCTGCAAAGTATAAAAATTCCTTGCTACAGTAATATCAATTGCTCCTCCCGGGACCGTGGTTTTTCCCCCTTATTCAAAAGGGTTTTTCACGTAAAAATCTTGGTGTCGTTGTCCCTCTTTTACGTTATTATTCCGTTTTTATTACGGCGAATATTATTTATGTAGGGATTTATTCCTAACAAGTACGAATCCTCGCGAGGTGGATTTGAGTTTACTAATAGTTTGATGAGCATAAGCCAATTGCCATATTCTTCCTATGTAAGATATCACTGAGGAGTAAAGCTTTTAACTATGATATGATGCTCCCCGACAAAACTTAGACAGAAGAAAGTGGGGAGTGTTTGCATTTGAAGTTTCAGTTATGTAGTCGCAACTTTAGAGCTTAAAGACTTGTCGGAAGAAAGTGCAATAGGACGAATATACAAGTAGGATACATTGACTAGAAAAATGGTTGTTGGAAGCAGGGGAGAAAAAGGAACTAAACGCAGATGAGAAGGACATTTCTTTAGGTTCATTGCATTGCAAAAAGATCATAATTCGGCTACCTTTTGGTAGAGTATTTGATTTTGCGAAGTTGATTGAGCTCCCATCCTAGTTTCCACGGCACTCTTCTTCGTTCGGGTGTCTTCAACAAGTGGGATTAAAAGTTCTCTATTTGATTTTCACTGTTTGACTTACTTTGTAAGACATTTCAGACTAGTGAAATTGCCTACCTTTACCTTTTCAGTCATGAAAAATGCGGCTACTGCCGTCAAAACGTCTTTGCAAAACCAATCAGACACTCGTACCATTGCCAACTTTTACGCAGCCCAGCTCCAACCTCTTTGCCGAGAGAAAAAGCATGCCAGCTCAGCTTTTGCTCTTGTTCGATCAATCCATGGCAACATGATTACCTCCGGATTCAGGCCACGAAGCCACATCCTTAATCGCTTAATCGACATTTACTGCAAAAATTCCGGTCTTGTTTATGCAAAGCGCCTGTTTGATAGAATTCCCCAACCAGATGTCGTGGCAAGAACAACAGTTATTGCTGCATACTCTGCTTCCGGGGACCCCAAGCTTGCAAGAGAGGTTTTTGATAAAACCCCATTAAGCATCCGCGACACTGTTTGTTACAACGCTATGATTACTGGCTATTCACATAACAATGATGGCCATGCTGCTATAAAACTATTTCTTGGTATGAGGTGGAAAAGTTTTCAGCCTGATGAGTATACCTACACCTCGGTGCTTGCAGCTTTAGCCCTTATAGCTGATCATGAAATGCACTGCGGGCAGCTGCATTGTGCGGTTGTGAAGTCAGGCATGGCGTGGGTTAAGTGTGTTGTCAATGCACTTATATCAGTTTATGTAAAATGTGCTTCATCACCCATAGTGTCATCCGTGCTGTTGATGGATGCAGCAAGCAAGTTGTTTTATGAGATGCCAGAGCGGGATGACTTGTCCTGGACTACGATTATCACAGGGTATGTGAAGAATGATGACCTTGATGCTGCTCGGAAGGTGTTTGATGGTATGGATGAGAAGTTGCTTGTGGCGTGGAATGCAATGATCTCTGGGTATGTACATAAAGGTTTCATCTTCGAAGCATTAGACATGTTAAGGAAAATGCACTCAGCAGGGTTGAAGCCAGATGAGTTTACCTGCACTAGTATCCTCAGTGCTTGTGCCGATGCCGGATTGTTTCTTCTAGGAAAACAGGTGCATGCTTATGTTAGACGAACAGAAGAGGAAATTCATGTGTCTGTACATAACGCTTTAATAACATTATATTGGAAATGTGGTAGAGTCGATGAAGCAAGAAAAGTTTTTGATAATCTAGCCTTTAAGGACCTTGTTTCGTGGAATGCAGTTCTATCAGCATATGTAGGAGAAGGGCGGATTAATGAAGCTAAATTATTCTTTGATGAGATCCCAGAGAAGAATTCTCTTGCATGGACAGTAATGATATCAGGATTTGCACAAAATGGAAAAGGGGAAGAAGCTCTCAAACTGTTCAACCAAATGAGACTACACGGGATCGAGCTGTGTGACTATGCATTTGCAGGAGCTATTACATCTTGTGCAGTGCTTGCAGCACTAGAAACTGGATGCCAACTCCATGCTCAGCTTATCCAGCGTGGATTTGATTCAAGCCTTTCAGCTGGAAATGCATTAATAACATTTTATGGAAGATCTGGGGTCATTGAAGCTGCACGTACCGTGTTTCTCACAATGCCTTGTGTAGATTTGGTTTCTTGGAATGCATTAATTGCTGCCTTGGGACAGCATGGATATGGTGCTCAAGCCATAGAACTTTTTGAACAGATGTTAAATGAACATATAACTCCTGATAGGATCAGCTTTCTCACAGTTATATCTGCTTGTAGTCATGCAGGATTGGTAGAAAGGGGACGACACTACTTTAATATAATGCATAGTGTTTACAAAATAAATCCAGGAGAAGATCACTATGCCCGTTTAATTGATTTGTTGTCTCGAGCTGGAAGGTTATTAGAAGCAAAAGATGTGATCCAGACTATGCCTAATAAACCTGGGGCACCCATGTGGGAAGCTCTTCTTGCTGGTTGCCGAACTCATAGGAACGTGGATTTGGGGGTTGAAGCAGCAGAAAAACTCTTTGAGTTGACGCCACAACATGATGGAACCTACATACTTTTGGCTAACACCTTTGCTGCTGCAGGCCGATGGGATGACGCTGCTAAGGTGCGAAAACTGATGAGAGACCAAGGGGTGAAAAAAGAGCCTGGATGTAGTTGGATTAAGGTTGAGAATACCGTTCATGTCTTTTTGGTGGATGATACCGCACATCCTGAAATTCAAGCAGTGTACAACTACCTGGAGGAGTTAAGACTGAAGATGAGGAAAATGGGATATGTTCCAGATACACAATATGTGTTGCAGGATATGGAGGCTGAGCAAAAGGAGTATGCTATATCAACTCATAGTGAAAAGCTGGCAGTTGTATTTGGGCTCTTGAAACTGCCTCGTGGAGCCACAATTAGGGTCTTCAAGAACCTACGGATTTGTGGTGACTGCCACAATGCGATTAAATTCATGTCGAAGGTTGAGGCAAGAGAAATCATCGTCAGAGATGGAAATAGGTTTCATCATTTCAGGGATGGTGAATGCTCATGTAGGAATTATTGGTGAGATATGGGATAATGATTACTGTCACCTAATGAGTTCCTTGGTTTCTGTGGAGATTTGAAGAAGTCATTCTGGAAGGGGTTGTGTTGCCAGGGAAAAGTTATAGCATCTTCGGACATTAAAATGTAAGACTTCAACGCTGAAGTAGGAATATGCTGCTACGTCTTGTTTGTCTGTAGCATTTCGAAAATGGATGTGCATTGTGAATGTTTCTGCTTTGTGTTCCCTGGTGGTGAATGCTCATTGGATACCTTCTAGATACTTAAGGCATAATTAACTAATGAGATAGAGATTGCATATATCTTGTAGTTATACACGATTGAGTAACTATCAAACAAAGAACTCGCAGCTTCATAATGCTCCCAGTTTGTGAATAATAGGATATGCCAAAGGGTTGAGTGACTCTCTGCTTGGGGAAATGATACAGTTGAGTTTCTAGAATCCTCAAACATAAAGGTACTATTAGCGAGGAAAAATGTTTCCATGATACAAGTTTCTATAGCACGCACTTTATTGAAATAATATTTTTCGCACTATTTGATCTAGATGTTCCTAGGATCTTCCATCCCACATTTCTTGCCTTTTTATTTCTTTTAAGTTGAATGAGTTTAGTTGATGGGATTCTCTTTAGGTTTTACGTTGTCATTGGTTTCAAGTTTTATGAATTCATTGTACTGCGTTCTCTCCGTTGTCTGGTCTTTGATTATAACCACTCATCATTCCTTTTAGCTAAAATTTTGATTTTTCTTATGGTTTGTGGCATTTCCTGTATCTACATGCTGAAACTTTCCTTGTTTACCTGTTTTCTCTGGAAAATATGATGCTTTTCTTTGATTGCAGGAGTACAGCTTGCAACTCATCTATAGATGGGTACCTTCATATCCTACAGTGAGTATACTCCATTTGTCAACCAGATTTAAGTTGACGATCTTTCACATCCATCGGTTAAAACAAGCATAGAGCTGAAGGCAGACTTAGTTTTCCGCGATGCTCCTTGGTTGGCACATTTGTATTTTTAGCAAGTGAGCTGCTTTTTCTGGGCTCTAATTGGACTCATTGAATTCAAGTGGTGCTCTCCATTCGTGATCATTCTGATCAGCTGTATGTTCTTTTCAGGATGCTCTGTGATAGCAGATATACTTGTACTCCAAGGTGTTTTCCCCTAATATTTGGTGCAGAGCGTTTGATCCTTTTGGTTAACTAGACGAGCCACTTTTTAATAGAATTCTTTGAAGTGGCCTTATCTAGGATTGATCCAAGCCACTGGAAATTATTGTTTTTGGGGATCATTAAGTATTTGTGAAGAAATACAATATCTTAGCAAACTCTGAAATCAAGCTCGCATTCAAATTCATTCTTGAGACGAGTCAAAGGATTTGATAGAGGTTACAGATACTTCCAATTTTATCACTTTGGTATTCATTTGCCATTATTTTATCTTTTTGGTCCTTTAGGTTTACACTCAAATTTGTTTCCACATACGTTGTACTTGTCTCTCTTGGAATCTGGCATTTGAATGCAAGCACATGTTGTAATTTGATAGGAGAAAATAGAAGGTAAAGGACAAAACGTACAGAACATAAATGGACAACAAATATATACAAATGTCCTAATGATTACATTCTTTAAGAAAGAAAAGAGAAGGACGGCTTCCATTTTGATGGAATCCTTTTACTAGCCAAAGTACTAAAAGACAGCTTTCATTTCAAATAGAATAGAAGTCTATTATGTCTGGCCCTACTCGATGTTATCAATGTAAACAGACGGCTTATCTCTGTCAACATAGTAGGCTATCTTGATGTTGTAGCAAGACATCATAAGCAGAAGAAAATGCAATAATACCAACAATTTCTTGTTAGAGAAGAAAAGGGAGGAGAGACTTGCTGACAGTTTTGAGTCTTTTTGACATCTTCCTTTCTTTAGAGCGAAGTGGCTTGTCATTGCATAAGTTTTCTGGCAGAGTGCAGACTATGGAGCAAGAAAGGGTTGAGAAAGCACTTCATATTGTGGTGCTAGCAGATCAGGGACAGGGCCATATAAACCCAATGCTCCAATTCTCAAAACGCCTGGCTTCCAAAGGAATCAAAATCACAGTAGCTACCACGCTCTCCAATTCCATGGCCATGAAAGCTGCTTTATCTAACTCCATGATCACTTTTACATCTATTTACAATGATTGCTCTGAAGGCGGGCTGGTCGGCCCAGGAGGTTTCAAAGGATTTCTTGACAGATTCCAGGCCAGTGGCTCAACAAATCTAACTAAATTCATTATGGATCAAGAACAAACAGAGCACCCAGTTAAGTGCCTTGTTTATGATGCTAACATTCTCTGGGCTTCTAAGGTAACAACCCAATTGCGCATAGCTGGTGCTGCCTTTTTCACTCAGTCATGTGCTACTGCTGCTACCTACTATCCCTTGTACTGTGAGCTTTATGAAAAGACTTGTCTTTCCATGCCTAGTTTTCCAGTCATGACAGAATTGCCCAAGCTCAGGTTTCCAAATCTGCCATCTCTTGGTTCTAGCACTGGTCGGTATCCCGCAATAATCATGCACATACTTGGCCAGTTTGATAACTTTGAAAAGGCAGACTGGGTCCTCTTTAACTCCTTCGATAAGTTGGAAGAAGAGGTAGGTACACCAAATTTCCTCTGCTCTTTCAATCTTTTCCTCTTACAATATAATAGCTAGTCTTGATTAGTATGCACGCCAAACTTGAGGACAACAAGTTAACTATACTTCAGGCTGCTAAGGTATTGTATAAATGTCGAAGAACTGTAACTTGGTATATACCTGCTAATCTGTTGTTTTCATGCTTAAAAAATTATATTAACTGCATCAAAGTATATAGAAACATAGAGCACTAGCTTACTGGAAATTATCGGAGTCAAGTTTAACCTTGTAGGGAAGATATACATTTGCTATATACCTGATTTTAAAGAAGGATTGTTTGACTCAAGTTCATGTGAATTTAGGTTGTCGATGAAGAAGCTTTGGAATGCATTAACAATAGGTCCAACTTTGCCATCATTTTATCTTGACAAACGAGTTGAAAATGATAATGAGTATGGCTTCAATATTCATAAGCCAAATTCTAGCAACTGCATTGAGTGGCTTGACAATAAGAAGACTGGTTCAGTCGTCTACGTCTCTTTTGGCAGTGCAGCAAATTTAAGTACAGAACAAATAGCAGAAGTAGCTGATGCTCTCAAGCAGAGCAACATCACATTCTTATGGGTGGTGAAACCTAATGAACATAGTAAGCTTCCCGGCGATTTCACCAAAGAGACATCAGAAAAGGGATTGGTTGTGACATGGTGCTCGCAGTTAGAGGTACTATCACATCATGCAGTTGGATGCTTCATATCACATTGCGGATGGAACTCAACCTTAGAAGCAATAACCTTTGGTGTGCCTATAGTTGCAATGCCTCAAATTTTAGACCAAATAATCAACGCGCATTTTCTGGAAAAAGTTTGGGAGGTGGGGTTGATAGCTAAAGCAAATGATGGTGGGAAAGGCGTTACTGCAAGTGAAGAGATATGCAGATGCATCAGGGAAGCTTTAGAGGGAGAGAGAGCAGGAGAAATTAGAAAGAATATTACTAGCTTGAAAGAACTAGCTAATGAGGCAATTGGCAAAAGTGGAAGTTCAGACAAGCATATTGATGAATTCATTGCACAATTTGATCCTGCCTACTTGAGACATAGATCAAACTACAACTGAAATTGTATAGTTTATCTGACTTGTGTTCTGAAGTATACTCTTATGTTTGATTTGCTTTAACAATGTATTTATTGTGGTGATTGAGCAAGCAAAATGGTCCCCAAAAAGTCACCATATTTCACCAGAATTTCGAGTTTTGATTGAATGGTGAAACACTGAAAGAGTTACCAGATTCTTGTTCCCTAACTCTTCATATGGCCAAATGTCTGTAATCAATTGACGGATGTAAGAGATGATGTTTTATGTAATATTGATATTACAAAAAATAATTAAGGACAAATCTAATGCTGTTGCATGATGCATTTTGGAATAGAGATGAATTATAATCTTTTATATTGAAGATATATCTCATGTATTCGAGGAGTGCCCAATAAATATATATTTAGATATTAATAAGACATTATGCAAAAGGAGATTTTATTTCTAACAAAACTAACGAACGGGGTTGATAATATTTGATTTTGTAATAGGAATTTCTCTATTCTGACTCGAACCCGAGACTTTTAAAATATGTGATTAGTATTTAAACAAAATAAATTTTTTGTACTATTACGGGGTTAGTTTGATTATTCTTGTATTTTTAATCTATGTATTACTAACGCCTACATTCTTATACCACATTATACCATGCATAAAAAAATACGTCGATATTCATGTTTTACTTACGCATATATTATTTATGATGAAAGCAAAATAGAGCAACCAAATGTTGGAGTATTAATTAATTAATGTTGATTTCTATGCAAAGATTGAATCTCCTTAAAATCTAACCAAACACTATATAAAGTTGATGCTGATTTTTATGGAATTAATTGCACTAGTAGCCAATATTTAGTTTGCCAACTGATAGCCAGTGTTGTTAGCAAAAGCCTTTTTGTTGATTCTCCATTCCTCCTCCTTAGTGTAGTTACTACAATCATAAATCTTCACACAACTCCCTCAACAACACCTCCTCCTTGATGGATGTTTCTCTGTTTTTAAAATAGTATTAGACTTTGTTCGAAGAATAACTAATGGCAAAATTAATTGTTAACAACTCTACAGCTAAAGCTAAGTCTTTGTAAGTTAGTGATTGACACTTGAAGTTGTTGGTGATTGATTTGTTCGAACTTTGCTGGGTATTGAATTTAAGTTGGAAGTTTTAAAAATTGAAAATTGTTGAGCTTTCTGGTTGAACCTCCCGTAAAAGAAAGCTAAGACATAAATGTATGAAGTTTGGCTTGCGCATACGCAATTGTTGAAACTACGCTCTTGTCAAGCCAAACTTCAAGCAAAAATGTCTTTGAAGTTTGCCGCCTAACTTCGATCGTATATGCTTAAAATTAGTTTAGAAGTGGCTAAACTTGTAATTTTAAGTACACTATGACCATATAGGGGTGAAATTCAAAAATAGCAAGATTTACAAATGGTAATTGAAAAATAGTCACAGTTTCAAAAGTAATCGAAATTTACTCATTTTTTATATAAAGATTAATTTGAACGAAAACACTGTTCAAAATCCAAAAAATATTCCAGCATAATATACTGGAGTTCGAATTTTTTACATGTGAACTTCCTGCATAATATACTGGAGTTCCAGCATAATATACCAGTCCAACATAATATGTTGGAAGTTTATACATAAGTGCTCCAATCTCCGGTATATTATACGAGAATTTTCCGTGTGCTGGAGTTCCAGCATAATATGCTGGAAGTTCATACACAGGTGCACAAATCTCCAGTATATTATGCTGAAATTTTCTGTGTTACAACAAAATAGTGGCTATTTTTCAATGACTTTACAAACGTTACTATTTTTCAATTACCAATTCGAAAAGTGGCTAGCCCGTGCTATTTTTACGCACTTGCCCCATCGTCCACGGGAAACCGAAATCAATTGTATATCGAATTAAATAATCTATGCGGTATGCCTACTGAAAATATCAGTTAACACTATATATAATTAAAATATTTATTTTGCCCTATATACCTACTTTAAGATTTTATTTTACTATGTATATAATTATTCACTATTCCACAATTTAAGGGACTGTAATCTTATACCTTTTCTCTCTCCGCTTTCTTTCTTTTTTCAGTTTCTCCCCCTCTTCATTACCCAATTTAATTTGAATTTCTTCGCAATTATTGTGTTTTAATCCTGATATCAGTACTCTACTTAAAATAAGTAGGTTACTTACGGTGTTACTAATGGACGAGGTGAAATATTTTGCATTTGGCATTTCATGAGTCTTTCATCATTTCTTATCGATTATCACATCATTTCTTATCGATTATCACATTATTCTCGTAGTGCCTTAAATGACCACTATAAAGTCATAGCTCTCAACTTTTGTCGGAATGATCGCTTAAAAATAAAGCTTTCGTCTTATTATTGGCAAGTGTTGTTGAAATATTATCGCATATTATTTAAATACTGTGATTTTGAATTGAATATTGTAGTTTTATTTGAATATGATAAATAGTTTTGGTTTGAATATTATTTTTGAATTGATAGTGTAGTTTCGCATGGAATATTGTATTTCTGAAATAAATATTGTAATTGCAAATTGAAAACTGTATTTTTGACTTAAATACATTAAATTGAATATTGTAGTTTCACATGAAATACTAATAAACATACTGTTAGTTTTTTTAACCAAAATATTAGTATGAATACTGTTAGTGTTATTGGAATATTTGTATGTATACTATTAGTTTTAATGGAATACTAGAATATACGTATACACTTAATTTCTGATTGGATGTAGATATATTGTTAGTTCGATTATAATACTGGTAGTTGTATACGGTCGAAATGGATTTCAGCCTTGGCATGTCCGGTACGGTTCGAAGGGTGGTGTATCGAAGTAAGATCCCGAAGGGGGGGACGAACTAACCTAGAGCCCGGGGAGGCCGGTCCGTGTTGAGATCGATACCATAATCAAACTCGAACAAGAATCGAACCATGGCGTGGGTAGATCTATCGTGCTGATAATCCAAAAACCAACCTACATCGACCTGGAATCCATCCGAGGGCTCAAACCAGGATCGGGCTCGAACCAGGATCACGAGTTCGAGCCGAAATCAAGCTCGAACCAAAATCGAGGATTCTAAGCAAGATCGAGCTCGCAGACAAAAGCCGTTGCAATCCCACTAGAGGGAATCTTGGCAGAAATTATGAAAAAGCTGATTTATCATGGGTCTCCCACTGAATGTTTATTTTATTATACTTGTAGCCAAACCCTTTCACTATAAAAAGGCTTGTTTTCATTCTTAGAGGGCATCTTTTTTTAGACTTAGACTATCTAAAACTGTATTATTTCCTCTAGAAGCAAGAGTGATCTTTCTAGTTTCTTAGATTGTCTCTATTTTGTTAAATCCTAAATTCACTGTTCATAATTGATTCGCCTGAATTACGTTTTCTCGAACATATATTCATCCTTTTATTTATCCTAGCATTCTGTATTAAGTTGTACCACATATCTTCGGAACTGCGTATAAATTCAACTATATTCATTTTTCGGGTAAACAGTTTGGCGCCCACCGTGGGGCCGAGGATAACAGTGGTCTTTTATTTCCGAAAATACCTTCAATTCAGGTTCGACTACGAATAGCCACCAACCGAATGGCTTCACCGACCGATTACGAAGCTGGCCTTCAAGATGAAACCAACAACTTGGCACTACCTGAGATTCGAGCCGAAATACCACTAGATGTCAATTCACAAATTGCTTTGGAAGCAAACCAGCGTTCCGAACCGGAAAGAAGCATTCAGGGCGGTGCTCGATCCGTAGCCCAAGACACCCAAAACCCAGAGGAGATCGGGGCCAGCTTACGCATGATCTTTGAGATGTTGCAAGCCCAGCAATTAGCGATAGCTCGGCTACAGAGCCAAACTCAAGCACAAAGCAGGCCGGTTTCCAATCCACTTCGAGAGGTCCGGCAGGGGTTACTTCGAGAGGTCACCCCCAGAACAGAGCCTGCCA